TCCTTCCCTTCTCCCCCATCTTCTTGTCAAGCTGGCTTACTCCAATTTACTGTTCAAGCTCCTCCTTAACTAGACCCTTTTGCACTTTTACTCCGTCACTTTGATTATACCTTGACTATAACCCCATTGCAGCATTCAGTCCAACTCTTCTAAAAATATATTTAGTCCAACAGATTCATTCTGATTATATCCAATGTCTCAACTTCAAGAGCTGCTGCTGAAAGTATTTCTAAAACCTTAGGTTTTATGTTTATTTATATAAACTAAGATGCTTTGTTTAGATAAGACTAAATTTCTTTGTACGCACTTAAATGTACCTTTAGAAATAATAATTACTATTTATCTCATTAAAATGTCAGCTATACCGGGGCGCCTGGGTGGTTCAGTCAGTTGAGCATCTGACTTCACCTCAGGTCATGATCTTGCGGTCTGTGAGTTCGAGCCCCGTGTTGGGCTCTGTGCTGTCAGCTCAGAGCCTGGAGCCTGCTTTGGATTCTGTGTCTCCCTCTCTCTCCACCCCTCCCCTGCTCACGCTCTGTCTCTCTTTCTCTCTCTCAAAAAACATAAATAAATAAACATTAAAAAAAATAAAATAAAATGTCAGCTATATCACATAAAATCTCATTCAATATAAAATTTGTGAAATCGGTCCGTATATATTGAAAATGTACAATTTATACTGAATAATAAATGGCTCTTTCTACATAAAGAGAGGGGGCTGACACATCTAAAACTTTTCACTTCAGTTTGTTATTGCTAAGTCTCTTCATAATCCTCGAGTTCATACAAACAGCCAATGGCAAACTGAACCTAGCACATCTTTTAATTATTTCAGAGAAGACACAAGATTCAGCTTAAATGATTCAAAACTATTATTGGCTTCAAAAACAAGGCTGTCTTCAGCAAGTCACTAAAATAAGCACTATCTTATGTTCACGAGGACTAAGAGACATCAAGGCAGGCTAATGAATATCAGAGTGTGAGTTTGATAAAAACCAGGCAGCAGCTTAAAAATTTATTTAAAATTCCCTACCTCTCCTTCCTATTCCCCTTTTTATTAGGTGTTTGTAGAGAAATACTGTCTATCCAAAATTCTCAAGGATTTGGAAGTGGGAAAAAAAGAAGTCAATGATTAGGTGCTCAGAGTTTCTCAAAAAACATTCCATTTCAATTTTGACCCAACCCACCAACACTACTATTTCTCTTATTCAGTAAAACCCCAACCAGTTTGAAGAGTCTTTCCTCTTTTTTTTTTCTTCTGATCTTCCTACATAGTTGGAAACTGAACTTTTATAAACAACACTGATGACCATTTGAATGGTGCCCTTGTACTAAGCAATTGTGCACTTTCCACAAATATTCAAAGCTTTAGGAAAGCAAGACCAATGAATCAAACATTCTTAGCATACGTCAGAGTGTCTAACTATAAAGCTGTAACAATTCTGCTGTTGCCTACAAATGAGTTCTCTAGTACACAATGTTGTTCTCTCCCTGCCCTAACCTCTCCTTTTAAATAACTGTGGCCATATTTGTCATCAGGAAATTCCTGTCTTCCATTCTTGGTCCATGTGATTCACAGAGGATTTGAACCCAGTCACCTGGCTTCAGAGACGGGCTTATAACGCTGGCCATAGTGGTTGGTTCACGGATAAGTATGTGAGCCAGGTCCTATTAATTAAAATCATTCCTAAGACTTCCGTTAACATTTTGGAAAGTTAGTAGATCTTTCTAATCAGATTGCCAATCTTAGGATGCGATAAGCCTAGAATTTTTAAACCTCTTGCAACCACCACACAGAAGGAACCATGGATGAAGTCAATGAGAAGCAGAGAGAAGATAAATAATGGGGGAGGGGGAAACTGACTAGAAGGAGGTGAAAGAAAAAAGGAAAAGAGAAAGAGATGGTTATGTCATTTTAGCTCCTGGATCAAGCCATATCTGAATCTACACTTGTATTTTTTAATTACAGGAGATAAGTTGCCTTTTCTTCTAACGAGTATCTGAATTGGTTTACTATCACTTGAAACTGAAAAATTCCTTTGAATACAAGCACTAGAAACAGAACCAGAAGACAAAATAAGCCTGATAATTGAGTCAATGAACAATGTAGACTTATTCTGACAGATGCTTATGTCTTCTGGCCTTAATTGCATAGATAGCTATAAAGAAATGAAATTAATCTAATAAATTAATGAGGATGTTAGCCAATAAGATTTTATATAAGCCACATAGAATTTTTTATGGATTATTTGAGCATACTTAATAACTTACGAAACTGGTCTGCATTTACATTTATTTATTTATGTCAGTTTTGAGTTAAAAAATAAAAATATAAGCTCCGTCGATGAAAAACACACAAGGCTTGATGCAAGTATCTAGCGGCCCAGGTGACAGCATATCATATTCGTATTTTGTTTGTAAGAAACCAAGTTATGGCATTTTCTCTATATTTGTATTATGTTAATTTGGTCCTTGTCTGGCTCTGATGCTGCTATGCATATTAAGATGCCACCCAGATAAAGTAAAAAAGAAAGGGCATATTTGGTGGGGAGAAGGAACAGAAAGTGAACAAATGGAGGTAGAATGACAAGAAATGAATCTGTTTTAACTTTCGCACTTTTCTTCCACCAAGACCATTACTTTATTATCTTAGACTTTGACAGATATTGACAAGAAATTGTATTTTGCAAAAGTGAAAGTAAATTTCAGTGTGCTAAGTTTTTAACATTTGGAAATCTGTGCTTTTCTGGCTGTGAAAACAGTGAGGGTCCGTTCTTTACATATTATTTTATTCTCTGACAGTTCTCAGTATTGGAAATATTATTTTCAAATAATATTTGAAACAACTGCATTGTCATGACACCGGCTTCTTTCAAACAGGACCCAGAACAACAACAAAAAGATGATTTCATATATATATAATTGCTATTATATTTTTATTATAATATCTGTGTTTTTGAATTGAGAAGAGTAAAACATATGCAGAACACAAGGATGGGTTCATAAAGAAAATGTTGTCATATTTTTTGTAAGGAATTTTTGTTACCTGTCTATCCAATGGGGAGGTCTAGGATGTAAGAAGAAAAAAAATAAAAGAAGCAGAAAATGAGAAACTTTCTCCCGTGACAAGTGTTAATTTCAAATCTATTTAAGTAGAGGACTTGGGAAAGCCAGCAAGTAATATAAATAAAGCTTTTCTTGTGCTTAACTATCAAAGATCATTTCTGGGTTTGGACCTGGCTTGGTGTCCAAGCACTCCATTCCAAAAATACTACAAACTTTACCTACCTGTTTAACCAAGTGTCTTGTAAATTATCTAGAATAAAAGGTGGTAATCAAAAACCAGAGTGCTTGAAATCGGTTTTGTAGGGGGAACAAACAGGAAAAAAAGAACTTTTGAAAGTGAGATTAAGAAATTGGAAAATCAGCTAATTTTATTTCCTATGCAGAAACTGAAATTTCTAAGAATGATGACAGCAGCGGAGCAGTAAAATGAGACAGTGACTGAGAGGCAAAAGTCATTAAGAGGAAGGATGAGAGGCTCCTAGTTGGTAGATTTCAAAGCAATTAAAAGAGAGGTGGAGAAGAAGGTTGTGGGCTTCAGAAGAGCCAGCGTTTTGAAAGAGGAAGACAATAGCTATAAAACAACAATGGGGAACCAAAGGTCATGCCTATCCTACTGCCTTGGCCTTGAAATGAAGAGGGTTGAGAGGCAAGTTAGCCCGTCTTTGGTAGATTTTCCAGGGAAGAGGATGCTTAGGAGGCTACCGAGTTTCAGTCAGTGAGTAAAGGGACTATTCAGAGGAGAGGCTGATGTTATAGGTGTGTTTGTTAACCTCAGAGTAGGAGTTCCAGAAGGTTTGGGGAAGAGGTGGGACAAAGTGGGGGGGAGGGGCTCTCAGAGCTTCAGTGAAAATGAGCAGCCCAGAGATGATGGACCATTTTGCTTTTCTGATCACACAGATGTGAAACGTGATAGCTCACCCAGCAGTAGGAGGCTGCAGACCTGGTTATAGAGATGAGTTCTTGCCAATAAGAAGTCTAACTGAATCAACAGCCAACAGGTCATTATAATTTAGTTGCAATTGACATGAGCTACTGACGTCTTAAAATGACACTCTCTCTTTCACTCTCTTCAAATTTCCCGAATTCACAAATGCCTTCAGTCCTGGTTTATTCCACACAAAAGTTTGTAGCATTGATTTTTAATCCCACCAAGGTTTTTAGTGTGCAATATCAAAGAATTTCTAGCGATCCAACACCTTTGTCTCCTTGAAAGCATCTGGAGATCTTGTAAAGCTTAGATTTCAGCATCCGCACAAAAATCTTCCTTAGCATTTTTATGAGAGAGATGATAACACAACTAATGCCTGGGTTTTAATACTAAATCCACAGACATAAAATTTCCACCAAAGGTGTGGAGAGATAGTTCATGCAGGACTACAGGGGTAGACTCACAATGTTGGTGCAGGCCCTTGGTAATAAGAGAAGCAAAAATCTTTGCTCAAAGGGCACATGTGTGTGACTCAGCCATCCAAATTAAGCAGGAGTATAGACTAAACATCAAGTACCCTCAATAGCAACAACTTTAAGCTACTGATAACCAAGGAGCAACTGAACAGGAAGAAAATTTTGTCTTCAAAATTTATATTCCATACTTACTGAATTTTTTTCAAATGTTTGTTTATTTTGAGAGAAAGAGAAGGAGAAAGCATGAGTGGGGTAGGGGCAGAGAGGAGAGGGAGAGAGAGAATTCTGAGCAGGCTCTGCACTGTCAGCCCAGAGCCAGATGCAGGACTCAAACCCACGAACTGTGAGATCATGACTTGAGACAAAATCAAGTGTCAGATGCTTAACCGACCGAGCTACCCAGGCACCCCAAATACTAACTGACTTTTAAGCTCCCATTTACAAAAGAAAAAAAAAAAAAACAACATACCTTCTAGGAGAACACACACACACACACACACACACACACACCCCTTAGATGCCGCCATTACCTCAAAGTTGCATCACAAAGTTTTATTCTCAGTTGGATCTGTGATTTGTGGTGTCCTCTCTGGGTTATCTATCTGATGGAAACAATGTCTGTAAATGAAGAAGAAACTTTATGAGTTAATCTTTATTGGTATATTTAAAATTAGTTATGGGAGTGCCTGGGTGGCGCAGTCGGTTAAGCGTCCAACTTCAGCCAGGTCACAATCTCGCGGTCCGGGAGTTCGAGCCCCGCGTCAGGCTCTGGGCTGATGGCTCAGAGCCTGGAGCCTGTTTCCGATTCTGTGTCTCCCTCTCTCTCTGCCCCTCCCCCGTTCATGCTCTGTCTCTCTCTGTCTCAAAAATAAATAAACGTTGAAAAAAAAATTAAAAAAAAAATTAAATTAGTTACGGAAGGGAAGTACTAAAAATAAAGTAGTATTATTCCGAGAATATTATATCTAGAATATAGCTATTATATTTTTCTAGGAAGGTCTTATATGAGGTGAAACATAATAGGAAGCTTTCAGTCAGCCTTTAGGGCTTTTTTCTTATAAACATATTTACATTTTTCTTGAGTACCTGACCACAGAAGTGTTGTTTTTCTTTCTAGTTTCTTTCCATGCTTCAAATATAGTTTAACAATTGAAGTCAATGGGTTGCTTTTGAGAGAAGGCAAGGTTTTGGTTTTCTCAATGCTTAGACCATTTTATCCTTTTGTTGCAAACCTAAGAAGCTCACTAAATGAAGTCCATTTTAAAAAGAAAATATTCAGAAATTATAATGTCAGACTTAGGGTTTGTTTTTATTTATTATTGTCTCGATATTAACAACCATCATCGTTAAAACTTCATTTATCTGCTGTATTACTGATTTCAAGGCACCCCACATCAATAACCTCAGTTGAGTCATAAAGCAATCCCCCAGGTTGGCAGGAAAGGATTTATTATAATTTTCCTTTATAAGTGAGGAAACTGAGTTTTTAAAACATGTAACTACTTCAAAAGTTAAACCTGGAACTCAGGCCATGTGAAATCAAACCTAGGACTTTTAATATTAAATCTTATGACTTTGTCATAATCTTGCCTAGTTCACTTTGCACTGTTCCTTTAGCCCAGTAAGTATAATATTTAATAATATGTATTCATTGCATCTATTATTTTTAGAAGCCTAAAGCTCACATGGACTGTGTATTCATTTCCCAGGGCTGTGGTAACAAATTACCACAAACCTGATGGTTTAAAATGACATCAGGGGCGCCTGGGTGGCTCAGTCGGTTAAGCGGCCGACTTCGGCCCAGGTCACGATCTCGCGGTCCGTGAGTTCGAGCCCCGCGTTGGGCTCTGTGCTGACGGCTCAGAGCCTGGAGCCTGTTTCAGATTCTGTGTCTCCCTCTCTCTGACCCTCCCCCGTTCATGCTCTGTCTCTCTCTGTCTCAAAAATAAATAAACGCTAAAAAAATAAAAAATAAATAAAAAAATAAAAAATAAACGACATCAGTTCGTTGTCTCACAGTCTGGAGGCCAGAAGTCCCAAATCAAGGGCTGCACTCCTTCTGAAGGTGCTGAAGAGAAGCCTCCCTTGCTTCTCCCAGCTTCTGGTGGCTCTCAGCCCTCCTTATGGCTGCTCGCTCCAGCCTCTGCTTCTGTTTTCACATGGCCTTCTGCTCTAGAGAAGACCTTCCCCCTCATCTAAGGACACTTGCCATTGGATTTAGGACCTACCCTAATCCAGATGATCCTCATTTCCAGATCTTTAACTTAATTATATCTACAAAGACCATTTTTCCAAGTAAGGTCACAATCACAGGTTTCAAGACAGGGACAGACCTTTTAGGGGACCAACACAGATGTTTATCCCTAAATATTACTAAATTAAGTGTTCCTATAAAATACCTGATAATTATAATTGGAAGACTTTGAGTAACATTTTACAATGTCCATTTAGAAAGTAAGTTGGAATCTAAATAACTAGAAGATATAAGCCACTCCCAAAAGTTATAGTGAACCTTTTAAATACTTTAAAATTTTAATAATTATATAAAATTTGTCAGCTAGGGTTTTAAGAGTGGTTCCAATACACTAGAAATAAAATGCTTAGATTAGTAGGGTTTCAGAGACTACTACTTTAATTGATGAATGACGTTCCCACTCATCAAGTCACAAAGTCAGGTTATTTGGCAGACATGGCCTCTAATACCCGATATCCACTTTTCCTTCCCTTCTGGACACATAAGAGGAATATGCATACTTAGGAGTGACAGAAATTACAATTGTCACTTTCAGGAAGACGCACGTTAGTTACTGGCACCCAATTCTGTACTTCACTTGGTCTCTGCTATGGCTATTGGAAAACCACATTGCTAAGGAACTACAATGTAGATCCCTTCCATGGAGGACAGCTCAGCTGCCCCGAGACTTCTCTGGGCTCATAGCACGCGTTGCATGAAAGAGGAATAAATCCGGGTGTTTTAAGTACTGAAATTTTGGGTTGCTGTCAGTGTAGCCTAACCCAATCCATGCAGACTAAAACAGTTATTTATACTAGGAATAGATGTCACCATGACAAAAACTCTAAAGTATGTGGCATAGGCTTAGTGTTGATCCTACCGGGGGTAGCAGTTGTGAATGGCCACCTCCTGTGGAGGCTAGAAGATGCAAGTCAATCATCTGCAGGGGCAAATCATTTGGTAATATTACCACCTATGATGATTTATAAAATAGATCTTATTCAAAATAAAACTTGTTGCCCTTGACAAAAGATTAAATAGAAGATTAGAGTGTCTGCAGATTGATGTCAATTGCAATTGGCTGGGTATCACAAAAAGAAAAAGATGATCTCAGAAAAGAATAGACTGATTTGCAATTAGGAGCAAACAATATATAGAAGAGTAAAGAAGTTTGGGGATTAGTAGGATTCTAAAAACTCCTTTCTCAGAGACTACTTTGTACAAAACAGAAAAATGAAATCTAATTATTAAGGCAAGGATCAAATCAGGGGTATGGCTACCATACTATGTTTAAATCTGGGAATGGATTATGGCATCTCAGAATAAAGATATGATGAAAAGTGGGGCACCCCAGGGGTGCCTGGGTGGCTCAGTCGGTTGGGCATCCGACTTCAGCTCAGGTCACAATCTCAAGGTTTGAGAGTTCGAGCCCCATGTCAGGCTCTGTGCCGACAGCTCGGAGCCTGGAGCCTGCTTCGGATTCTGTGTCTCCCTCTCTCTCTGCCCCTTCCCTGCTCACACTGTCTCTCCCTGTCTCAAGAATGAATGTTAAAAATATTTTTTAATAAAAAAAAAGGGGGGCACCACATCTATCATTTTAGTTGGCCAAAAGAGACTGAGAATGTGACTCTCTTCCTGAACCATGAAACACTTAATGGAAAAACAACTGCAAATATGAAAGGGAGTGGGGGGAGAGAGGATAGAAGGAAGGAGAAGAAGAGGGAAGGGGAGAAAATTAAAAAGTAAATATTCCAAGAACCAAATCTCAAAAAACCTCATGGGCATGGAATTGATACATGGAACTGTGTAGCATCACATAGGTAAGAATCCTTTTGAGAGAATTTCACTGCCAAAGGAATCCCATGACTAGACTCAAAGAGTCTGTGCCTGTTTATCACTTAAAATCACCCTTGGTACCTAACCCTTTTCAGGCAGGTAATGGGCTAAGAAAATTGCCTATTTCTCAATCTCTTATTCCTCATTTTCCCCAATGCCCATTATAGATTTGACAAGGGAGAATAGAGAAAGAATTGAGCTTTTTTTGTCACCAAGAACAATAGACTGGGATCCCCCTGAGGGGACAAAGCCAACATAACTGAGGAACATTCCCCACTACTAAGTCAGTCAGGCACAACAACTGCCCATCAGCTTGTCTGAATTCCCACACTGAGTTTCACTATCACCCTTATTCCTTCCTAGTCTGTGGATTGTGAGGGGGAGAAAACAACTCTCCCTTTCAGTTTATATGTCTCTATATCAAGAAGAGCCACATTCTCATTTGAGATCATGGATTCCATGCTGTATAAAAAGCTTTTGGATGGTCTCTCTTATGGAGATGAATATAGGATTGGGGCAGAAGAGAGGAACAAATACTTGGTTATCGAAAGAGTGGTTGGTCTATGGCTGACTTGACAACAGTTTACTAATACCAATTCCTTTTCCTCTCAGGTCCACCAGATAATTGCATTCACCCCTGAAAGTTCAGGATAGCCCTGTGACTTGTTTAGCTAATTAACTGTGAGCACAAATGATGTCTGTCACTCCTGAGTAGGAACATTTAGTTGCAGGTACTTGACCCTCTGACTCCTGTTCCCTGTCATGACACTTCTGGAGCACATATTGATAAATCATTGCTATATTAAAATCATGTGGAGGAACACCGCTTTATAGGATATCCCAGACCCATAGAAAATTTATGTGAGAAAGTGTTTCTGTTTTAAGCCACTGAGATTGTTCTCTTTGTCACTGTAGCATAATTTAGCCCATCTTGACTAACCCAGGATCAATACTAAAATTTGAATAAATGTCTCCCTCAATTTTCTTCTTGTTATTGAACTCAGTTTTACAATAGCTATTATATTTTAAAATAAAACATCTAAAAGATAATCTAACAACTTATAGCTTCAAGCTGATACTCAATAATATGTTACATTCTTTTGTGCCTAGTTTATCTTTCCTTCAAAATAAAAGAGTAACTTTAGCTATGTTAAGAGCATTCAAATAGTTTCATTTTTTAAAAGGATTGCATTCTAAATCCTTAAATTAAGTGGCATTCCATCTAAAAAAAAAAAACAGATAAGAATAATCTTTTTGAGTTTTGTGCTAGTGTTTTGTTTTGTTTTTTTAAGACTGACCATGCTTGGAACTTTAATGTCATTAGGGTCTGCTTTTGAATCTACCTCAAACCCCAGGCATTTTACTTGATTTGGTAAGTGAAAAAGTTCCATAGACCAAGAAAATTATTTAGCAGTAAAGTATGTGAGAAACACTTTGACAGTTCTTCCGATCTTTTTTCCCCCAGCTATAAAGTGCATTTCTTCTCCTCCCCAACTCTGTCACTTTGAACACCATCCAATAAATTGGTCATACCTATCATAGTTACCCG